CCGCCGGGCGATTTATCAACGCTGGCAACCGAGCGTATTGCGATTGCGATATCCCGTTGGGGGATTACCATCGTCAGTCCTTACTGCTTCTCCTTGAATTTTTCAAAGCCCCAATGAGCTGATAATCTCGGTTTGTCCCGTCACCCTTCGCGCATGATAATTCGCGGTTACGATAACATATCCTGCATCGCGCTGTCGACCCGAAACACGAAGCCACGCTCCAATTTGAGGGCGTTTGCCAGTTGCGCATTATGAAAAGTTAATTATTCCAGATAAGTCGTCCTTAGACTTCCGAAGAAATAGATCTCTTTTTGTCTTGTATCATTTTCAATGCCTTTTTTTTCACGATTTTCTTACGTATATGACACACGAGAGAAGTGCAACATTATATTTAATATCTTCTTTACTGTAAAATTTGCGTAAAGATATATTTCATTCGAACTCTTACGAATTTTGCCAGTTTCCCCATCTTTTGATACTTAAAAGTAATTTTTTCTCAATAATTTTTTGCGATAAAAATTTTCTATGGGGGAAGGAGAGTTAATCGATTTCAAATTTGATTATCGCTTTATTAAAAAGGGAAAGATTTAGCTGTAGTGTTTAAAGCGTCGTTAAAAATAACATAATTCGCAACATGAACAATTAATTCCGATCTTGTAATATAAATTCAAAATAAAGGAAAAATTATATCGGAACACGCGTTCATGCCCACTCTCCTGAGATCGAGTCCGCCGAGTGGGTTTTCCGCATGGTGATTTCTTCCGCTTTCTCCGTTCCGTTAATTTTTTTACACAATAGCAGTCGCCATTAGGGGACTCGATTTTGCCGCAAAAGTCCATTATTTGCAAAGTACATGGCGGTGCTCGAATGTAATTTAGACACCGCGTGCGAATAACGCGCCTGTCGCGCTCGCGTCGCATTTGTACGCCTCGGGAGGGGACATAACGTAGAGAATTCCGCTTGCTTGCTCCCGAGGGCTTCTTATACGGGATGAATGGCCTTACAGCCTAGTCGCCTTCGATGCGAGGTGATGCAACGGATGAGACCGACCGAGCGCGGGAGAGCCCCACCGACCGGAGCAACAGGTGTATACCACGGAAAGGCGGGCCGGTGGCACGTTGGATACCAACACACGTGCTCGCACTTGCACACTCGTACACTCGGCTCGATTTTCAGCACAACGTGCATAACGTATGTCGCGTCGCACTTCTCCGACCTCTAATTCGTTTCGCGGCTATTTTAATTTTTATCAGCTTGAACGCGCGTCGAGGGCGAAGCTAAGTGAGAAGTCGCACGTCGGATTCGGAAAACCCACTTGACGATAAACACTCCCGAGTCCACCATCGTGGAATTCGTTCGATCTCATTTAAATTTTATTCGCATGAATTTAACATTTTGTCGCGATCAGACAATCAGGCGTGTAAATTGACATTGAATGTAATTTGATGTTTAAAATATTATCGGAAGAGTTACACGAAAATTTATCTTTATCTTTACGTTTTCCTTTCTTCTTGTTTCTTCCGAAACAGAAGAAGAAGAAGAAGAGATCCGCGCTCTCTCGTTGTTTTCGCGATGTCGCGTTTTCTTCGATCGCGAGTACGCGTTATTATGCCATCCGGAGAACAACAATTTCTCGACGAAAAAAGCGAAAAAAGAGCGACGGACGAATTCGGAGACGCGCTCCTCTCGCGCAGTTTGTTCGGAACAGCTGCCGCAGTTGTTTGGTTGCCGAGTATACTTGAGGTATAGAGGAAAGAGGGATAAGCCAGAAGACGTTGGTAGCACGTGCCTCGTGCCAGCTATACTCGTGAAGGTTATACACTCACCCTAGCGTACTCCAGATGGACGGGAGAAAAAAAATCTCCTTATAAACAACTGCGATGCTCGGCGCGCTCTTATTCAGAGCTGCTTCCATAGATCGTCGAATGTTCGTTCGTCTTGATTATACTTGAAAAATTGCAATCATAGTAATCGTTAATTTTTTTAATTATTAATATACCGTATTCTTTGTTGCATTTTATTATTTGTTTTTTATTTTTATGCGAAACAATTGGGAGCTCTGAGACACTATGTATATATACATGTTGAGGAATAACATAAATAAACGAGTGATTATCATAGAATTAAGAACAATTGTAGAAGAACATTTAATAATTTTATTAATAATCGATGAAAATGAAGGAGAGAAAGCAGTAAGTTACGCAGTAAAGTTTTAATTTAAAAAGAAAGAGAATGAAAAGAAAAATGTAATAATATTAGAATACCAAATATCGAATAGTAATTCGCGTTTTGCAAGTAAAAGGAGTAGGAATCGCGGAAGCGGGAAATTTTGTTTATACTTTCTACGTCTAGTAGACTTTGTAATAAGAGTCATTTATGGACAATATATTCCAACATGGACAATGTATGGAATATTGTATGGAATATTGATTATTTTTTTTTACTCCGTAACAAATTTGCAAGCTAGATTTTGAAATATTTAAAAACTCCTTTTTTTTTTGAACCCTAGAAGTGTTTTTATTTCATGATGCCGCATCGACAAGCAATATATATATATATATATATATATATATATATATATATATACTACAA